CCCGGAAAAAATAAAAGTCGTCGGAAATCTGAAAAAATTGTACAGATCTGGTCGGAATTATCAGTAGATGAAGCTGTCCAAAAGAAATTTTTTGAAACCCTGCCGGAAAAGGGCTCACGCGCCCGGCGCGTGGCGTCTAGATCGCTGGTAGGTGTCGCGCGTGGCAGCTTCTTCGTCGGAAAAATTTCAGTGGAGTGGTCGGAATTTTGGGGGCTTTCTAATGGTGTTCATGGAAACCTAAGATTCCTTGTTCCCAGGCTCCTCGGGGAGTGTGCCTGAGAGCTTGACAGTAGAGAGAGAAAACTTTATACTTGTTCAATGGACATTGAATTTTCTGTTTCTGCCCCTTTCTTTTCCATCATAATGTTTTTCTTTTTCACCACCATGTGAAAAGATAAAGAGTTTATCGTTTTGTCCCATGATAAAAGAAATATTGATGCAAGAACTAGATAAAAGATGCTTAAGAACATATGTTTGTTCTACATTGGAAGTTTTGTATATTGAGATGCTCATTGTTCTTTTGTGGAATTGTAAGATCATTTTCTCCTGTAATGTTTTCCTATGATATTGTGGTTGGTAGAGAGGTGTTAATTTGTCCAGCCATTTGTTGAGAGAGCTTTAGTTGATTCAAGCTATTCAACTATAGTTAAGTATGCCTTATTGTCACTTCATTTTAGCTTGAAGTATTTTTTTTGATGAAGTAAGGGAATTTCATTAAATGTCATCAAGAAGATGCATAGCAAAAATTACAACATAAAGGTATTGTCTGCTCATGTACAATAACTTACGGGACAACTAAGGAGCAGACAAAATCCAGAAATAGTTCAACACTAGTTACAGGGGCCTGATTGAACCAACTAAATAAGTTAATTAAACAAGTGGCTTTAAGAGTGTGGTTGGGAGTTGAAATCCCATCAAAACATCTACGGTTCCTTTCATTCCAAATACTCCAAAAAATAGCACCAGGTACCATTGACCAAGTCTTTTTGATGGATTTTCCAACTCTCCAGGAACACCAACTCTCATAAGCTTCCTTGATACTGTTTGGCATAACCCAGGCAAGTCCAAAAACTGATAAAAACATACTCCAAATATCAGCTGCTACTGAACAATGCAAAAAAAGATGCCTCACACTCTCAGATTCCATCTGGCACATATAACATCTATTCACAGTCGGTATGCTCCTTCTGCTAAGATTGTCTTGAGTAAGACAAGCTTCATACAATGTTGTCCACATAAAGCTAGCTACTTTTGTAGGTAGTTTGGTTTTCTATATAAGCTTCCAAGGCCATTTGTCGATCAATTCCTTGTTGGAGCATAGATTGTCATATCCTCTTTTGACAGTATAGGCTCTCTCTTTTGATTCACCCCATTCCAACCTATCTTTTGATTTACAAAATCATAGTTCTATGTTTTTTATTGTTTAGCTAAATATTGCGTAGTTTGATATAAAAATCTTGGTACACATTCATGGACAAAAAAATTTATTGATTTATTTCAAGTTTGAACACTCTTGACGAAATTCCTGGCTACGCCGCTAGAACAGGGGTAAGTGACTTGTTAACTATGAGACATGAAACTCAAATTTCATTATGAACTTACATCTTATATACCTCATGACTAAAGATTGAAACTTTTGCCATTTTTTTTGAGAATGATAACATTTTATAAATATAAATCAGCACAAAGTATGTGCTACTAAAAGTGACAGAATACATCCCCACAAAGTAAAAGAATCCCCCACTACAAAAACTTACAAGGACTCTATGATATCAAGTATGGAGTCACTATCATTTACAGGGCAATCTTTACACCAAAAAAGAAAAAGTACTAAAAAGTTCATTTTGATTTTCTGAATGGAGTTGCTAACATCCTCAAAACATCTGGAGTTCCTCTCGTTCCAGACTGACCACCAAATGTAGGCTGGGATCTTCTGCCACCATTTCTTCTGTCTGACTCCACCTGTCACACCAGCCCAACATCTCAAGAGGTCGGATGTATCTTTTGGCATGACCCAGTTCATTCTGACAATACTTAGAAACATGTGCCACAGTTGAGAGGTAACAACACAGTGAAGAAACAGGTGGGAGTTGTCTTCTGCTTCCCTTCCACAGAGATAGCATCTGGAGGTCAGTTGATATCCCCTTCTCTTAAGTTTTTCATTAGTCAAACAAGCTTTTCTGGCCACCAACCATACAAAGCATAGCATCTTTGTGGGTGCATTTACCTTCCAAATTTGTTTCCAAGGCCAACTCCTATCAGAATGAGCATTTCCCATTAGGCTTTTGTAAGCAGAATTCACCGAGAAATAACTGGTGCTTGACCCCTTCCATACCAAAGAGTCCTCGCAATTTGAGAGCCATTTTGACAGAGACATAAATTTGATCCTTCAAAGTGGAGATACAACAGGGAGATTTTTCAAGTATAATATAAGAACAAAGCAAGTTACATTATTGCTAAGTGAACTATCAGGGCCAGCAGGGGTGGCAGTGGCACTAAGTTTAGATGGTTCATATGTTCTGATCACAGAAATAATTGCTTGTAGAATCCGGAGATTTTGGCTCAAAGGTCCAAAAGTCACCTGATAATTTATTGAGCAAACCCGCAAACCCAACAGATCATCCAACTCCCAATCTTGGATGTCCCTTCTGAAATGTGGAGCCCAAGCACTATTTTGCCAAACATGTGAGATAGTTGCATCTTTATTACTAGCAAGTAAAAATAAAGCTGGAAATTCATCTTTCAGGGTCTCTGTTCCTAGCCATTTATCTTTCCAGAAAGATATATGACCCCCGTTCCCTAGCTTGAGTGATGACTTGAGCTTGAATTCTCCCCAAAGCTTTGAAATGTGTTTCCAGGGGCCTGAACCATGTGGAGCTCTCCCCTGCTTAGTGCACCAGTTGTTTGCCACCCCATACTTTGCTTGAATTGCTGTTTTCCATAGCCCTGAACTTTCCATGTTGTACCTCCAATGCCATTTCATCAATAAACTTTTGTTATGCAAGGCAAGATCCTTTATCCGTAGCCCTCCATGGTTCTTAGGAAGAATAACTCTTGGCCATTTAACTAGATGGAACTTGTGAGTGTCACTGTTGCCTTCCCGTAAAAATTCCACCTTAATTGATCAAGTCTCCTTTGTACCTTAGCTGGGATTGGGAATAAGGACATGAAATATGTTGGTATGCTATCTAGCACACTATTGATGAGTGTTAGTCTGCCTCCAAAGGATCGGTATTGCATTTTCCAGGAAGCCAGTTTCCTTTCAAATTTTTCAATCACTCCATTCCAGACGCCTTGAGACTTGTATCTAGCTCCCAATGGGAGCCCCAGATATGATGTAGGGAAAGATCCCACTTTACATCACATAACCTTTGCAAGCTCATCCAGATTTGGGACTGTGTTAACCAGATAGATGGTACTTTTCATCATGTCCATGTGTAGGCCTGAAATAGCTTCAAAGATCATCAGCGTGAGATTAAGATATAGAACTTGTGATTTTTCAGCTCCGGAAAAAATCAGAGTGTCGTCTGCATATAGCAGATGCGACACTATCACAAAATTGCCCTCTTCATTGCCCACCTTAAAACCCTCTAGCCAATGGAGCTGGTTAGCTTTGTGTAACATTTTGCTTAGGCCTTCCATAGCAAGAATGAACAAAAAAGGTGACAGTGGATCTCCCTGTCTGAGGCCTTTTTGGGGAGAGAAAAACCCAACAGATCCACCATTGATTAAAATTGAGTACTTCACTATGGTAATACAAAATTTAATCCATCTAATCCAGCGTTCTCCAAATCCCATCTACCTGAGTATATTAATCAAGTACGCCCAATTGAGTTGGTCAAATGCCTTTTCAATGTCAAGTTTGAAAAGTAGACCAGGTTGCTCAGACTTCATCTTCCAATCTAATATTTTATTGGCTATTAGAGCTGCATCAGTGATCTGCCTTGATTTGATGAAAGCATTTTGATGTCCTAAAACTAGCTTCCCTACCACCCCTTTCAACCTCTCTGCTATGATCTTGGAGGCTATTTTATAAACACTGTCAATCAAGCTGATTGGTCTGTAGTCCCTCAATTCAGTGGCTCCTTTCTTCTTAGTGATTAGAGCTATGAACGAGGCATTACAAGACCTGACTAAGTTGCCATTCTGGTGAAAATAATGAAGTGCACCCATGATATCATTCTTTACTACTGCCCATGATTTCTGGTAAAATGCCATGGTGTAACCATCTGGACCTGGAGCTTTATCAGGTGCACAAGCTTTGATAATGTCCAGAACTTCTGCCTCTTCAAATGGTCTTTCCAGCAACTCTTTCCCTTCTGAAGATAAAGTTGCTACATCTTCTAGCCTTGCTGAAGGTCTCTATCTTTCATTTTCTGTGTACAACTTCTGATAGAAGTCTAAAATCTCACCTTTGATTAAAGCCTTGTCTTCAATGAAATCATCCTCAATTTTGAGTCTGTCAATACAATTATTTCTCCAGTTGGAATTGGCAACTTTCTGAAAGAACTTGGTGTTTTTATCCCCTTCTTTGAGCCACAAACATCTTGATTTTTGCCTCCAGGAAACTTCTTCTGCTTTGGCCAGCTGCTGAATTTCCATTTGAAGTCTCATCATGCTGGATTTTTCTTCTTGAGAAAGAGTTCTGCCTTCAGTTTGTTGTTGCAAAAAGAAAAGCTCCTCTAGGGCTCTTCCCCTCCTAGCTGCAGTTCTGCCATATTCCTCTATGTTCCAAGTTGTGAGATCTTTTTTTAGTAGCTTCAATTTATTCACCAGTACAAAGTCAGGAGTGCCATTGACTTCATAACTTTGCCACCATGACTTGATCCTATCTTGAAAGCCTTCCGTGTTTAACCACATGTTTTCAAATTTAAAGTAGGATGGATTTGAATCCCAGTCCCCACTTTCCAACATGATACGAGAATGATCTGAGATGACTTTGGGAAGCGCAACTTGGCTCATTTTTTGAAAAGTATCATTCCGTTCTGATGACACAAGGAATCTATCTATTTTTGATGCTCGGATATTCTCTTCTCCTCTGGACCAGGTGAATTGAGCTCCCTGCAATGGTAAGTCTAATAAGCAAAGATCTTGAATGACATCTGAGAACCCCCTCATGGCCCTTGATCTTCTCAGACAATTATGCCTTTCACTTTCAAACCTACAAACTTGATGTATTTTTATGCTCACCTAATCAAGATTCATATCTTTTAATCTTAATCTTGAGATCTGTGTCCATGACACCAATAAAAGAGACAGAGATGGGTGAATGCAAGCTTAGGCTCACGATTTTTCCATGCTACGGTTAATAGACGTGTGAAAATTCTGTATCGTTAGATAATTGGCATAATCCCCAGAGCTCACATGCCCTACTTTCTTTTGCTGTGTGATTGTTAGGCTACTCCTGATATGGCAGTAACCCTTCTAGAGATAGCAAGAATTTTTGCCACCAAAGTTCCTGGAAAGATAGATGCAGATGTGCTACAACTGCTATGGAAAGTAAGCTCACTGTCATAACATAATGTAAAGTTGATTTTTCTTCCTTAATTAATGCTTCTGTTCTTTCTTTAAAGTTGATCTCATTTATGTTTCAGTTAATCTTGTGCTGGCGATTATGTCTATAACTTCTCTGTAGTTATTAGTTTCCAATTTGAGTTTGCTGTTCGTAATGAATAGTTTAAAACAAAGTTGCATGTGTAGCAGATTGTAGTTTCCCTAATTACCACATAGACTGACAGATGTTGATAACATATAATGCTGACCAAGGTCTGTTTATACATACTTTATCTACTTTTTGTGTACTAAACTGGAGTATTATGATGATTCTTTTAATAACCTAAGTCCTGCATAGTGTCTATCAACCTTGGTGCCCTTAAATGGGACATTGTCTGACAAAATTGAATTGATAAATTTTTGCAAATTCTGTATCTGTAAATACTTATACGCATAGTGTGATTAAGTATTTTATCATCTGGCTGCACTTCATAACCTGATGTTCTTTCTACTCTCATTTCCTTTTTTCTTTCCACCATCATATGCTTGATCAAGTAGATAGTGAGGGTGGATTACGATCTTGGGTCCTCCCAGATTTCTTTCTTTAACAAATAATTCTTAAATGAAGAATAGTGCGATTGCGAACAGTCTATTCATCTCACATGGATACATTTTTTAGTGCATCTTATTAATTTATTAGGGAATAGGCTGTTGTCTCCTTAAATGGTTTTTGGCAGTCCTCACCTCGTGAACTAGCTTTCGGGATTGAGTTAAGCACCAGGTCCATTTTTTTCTTAACATGGTATTAGAGCCAAACAGAGGTTTCCTATTCTTGATTTGCTTAGTGTTCAGTCCTCATGTCATTAAGTCCATGCTCCAGATGTCTAAATCTTGGTGTGCCGGGGGGTGTTAGATTCAGTGTTTTAAATCAAAAATCGCTTTTTTCTTTTCAATCCACGTGTAATCCTAAGACAAGGTTAAATGTGCAGAAGGGTGTCAGAAAATACATGTCCCTCATGGTTGTGTAATGGTTGTAGGTTATAATGTCAGTCCGTTCTCTCAACTACAGTGGGACATTCTAATTGATCTATCTGTAGGTACTCTCAGGGACGCTACTTTCATCGGCCAGTGCAGTATGATTTGCAGAATTTTTCTTCCACTTAGTTGAATGTTGAGCAACTTCGTTGGAGCTTTGACATTGTTTGCTAATTCACATCCTGTTTTCTGTCTTGCTACATTAACTTGATTTTCTTGTTAGATCTAAGATATAGTGCTCTGTGAAATTTTGACCTCTCATTTTTGCCTTACCTTGTAAAATTCCATTTCATACATTTCCCTATGTTTCCTTTGTCATTTTAAGTTTTTCCATTCGTGTAGTAGACATGCATGCTAATCTATAGTGATATAATATATAGACTTGTCTAGTTGGAGCTGGTCCTGATGGAAAACACACTGCATTGGAAGCAGTCACTATAGTTCTGGATTTGCCTCCTCCACAACCTGGCTCACTGTCTGGACTTACCTCAGTTGATAGCGTATCTGCCTCCGATCCAAAATCAGCCCTGGCATTGCAGAGAATGGTCCAAGCAGCAGTAAGAATCTCATCTACAAATTAATTTATTGATAACTGAGCTACCAGATAACTACCAAGTATCTGTGATGGCTTCTTTTATTTTTATGAATGGGTTATGACATACTTTTGAAGGTCTGGTTCCTTGGAGAAAATGCAAATTATGCTGCCTCTGAGTATGCTTGGGAGTCAGCTACCCCTCCAGGCACAGCATTGATGATGTTAGATGCAGATAAAATGGTTGCTGCTGCCAGTTCTCGTAATCCTACTCTCTCTGGTGCTCTGACTCGACTTCAACGGTGTGCTTTTAATGGTAGCTGGGAGGTAGAAGTTTTAAGCTCTTTAATCGTTCCTTTTGCGAACAAATTTTTTGGCAAGCTTTGATTTATTTCATACATGATTTATGCATTTGGTTATTGGTTATAATTGCTTACTAGTTGTGAACATGAAAGGTACGAGAACCTATATTTCTCCCTTCCCAATTTTTTTTACAAGGGTTGAGTCGATCGCTTCTTGTCTAACATTGATGATTTATTTTGTAAACTATAAAATTATGGATTTAGAGAGTACATGGAAAATAGTTGCTAGAAAAAAGAAAAAATTGAACAAATCATGATCAATGACGAATTTGTTGAGTTTCTAAATAATAACCAGATCAAACAGACTGCTCTCGCAAAAATTAAGATTTACTTTATTTATGATATTACAAATGGCAAGTAGCTGGAGTGTGTGTCTGTTGCCGACGATGAAAATATACGCTGCCTTTCTGTTTTACACTTTTGGCAGTGTTCTGGAGCAAATCCATCCTAAAATAGTGCTGTATTCTGGCCCGGGCCCGGGCCTAAATGGGCCAAACGGGCAGGGTTTAACGGGCCTGGGCTCTGGCGGTCCCGGGCCTCACGGTCCCGGGCTTCGTGGGCTCAACGGG